GAGAAAACTGCCTTTAGTACTAGGCCAGAATGGAGGGTAGTGTCGAACAAGAGCTTGATTTACAAGGCGTTGTGGGCTCAGTGGAACTCCCTGGCCATACAAAATGGTTTACTGGAAAGAGTTTGGGAAAGCGTCGTTGAGAAAACTACTGAGAGCCAACTAGTTATTCCAGAAGATCGACTAGAAGAAGTACCTATCAAAAGAAATACATGACGTAACTTCAGGGGCACATTTAAGAGTTAACAAGACTTTGAACAAAATTCGGAAACGTTTTTACTGGGTTCACTATCATGAAGACGTTAGAAACTGTTGCCGAAAATGCGACATCTGTGCTACCAGTTAAGGTCTCGGAGGCCCATGAAACAGTACAACGTCGGCCTCCCATTTTTAAGAATAGCGATAGATGTAGCCGGACCGTTCGCTGAGTCAGAGCGTGGTAATACAAATTTATCGTGGTTATCATGGATTACTTCAGTAAATGGCCAGAAGTTTTCGCTATTCCCAATCAAGAAGCCATCACTGAACATAGGTATTATTATTTTTTACCCTGCATAAAATTTTCTTGAAACACATAAGACTAAATTTATGTAGGTATGAGAAAAATTGTTTTGGAATAACAGACAAAGATGAAAGTTTCAAGGAGAGATATTCAAAAATAATGGCTGATATTTGTCGAATAAGTCATACTCATATCCTAGGGAAATTTGATTCCGTTGAGAGTCTAAGGCAGTTACAAGACAAGACACCTTGGCGCCAATTTATTCGTCACATAAAGCCTTTGAGCCGAAACGAAGCCCTGTTCGAAAAATAGAGAACGAGACACTCCATCTTTGCAGTAAAATGGCACTGAAAATCAAGTAACTTATCCTCAAAGGGAAGGCTTCCGAAAAATACACTGTTCACTTCTATTAGCCTAATAAACAACGTTTCCTTCGATGTTCTATTTTTATGGCAAGTGCATTGAAAATATTGTTATTTGGACCAAGGCTTTGGGTTCAGATAAGAAACATTATTTAGTCAATGCAAAATAAAACCTCTCAAATTACTATCAATAATAATTTGTAGGTATATCTACCTAATTTAAATAATTATAAAAACTTTAAATTGAAGAAGTAGTTCATGACTCAAAGTGGAGTTGAAATTAAATTTTCAAAGAAAAACACCAAGTCTTCCTCCACAAATAAACTTTAATTATTTCATAGAGCCCTACATGATCGGAACTACAGTTCCATCATCAGGGGCAAGTATGCTCAGAATAAGTGCTCTTAAAACATCATCATTTGAAACATTTTAGATGAGTTTTTTAGATAATGTTCCTAAACAGTTTTATTCAGTATACGTTTTTTAAATTCTTTTTGTATTCTAATGTGTTTTTTCTTCTAAATTTTTTACCTATTTTTTTGATTTTCCTCCACCGTTTGCAAATCCCGCGACCTCATCTAAAATGTTTCAAATGATGATGTTTTAAGAGCACTTATTCTGAGCATACTTGCCCCTGATGATGGAGCTCTCTAGTTCCGAAACATGTAGGGCTCTATGAAATAATTAAAGTTTATCTGTGGAGGAAGACTTGGTGTTTTTCTTTTAAAATTAAAAAAACTTTAACTGAAACTGAACTTTAACAGAAATTGAAAAAAATCTATGATTGAAAACAAAGGAACCTAATTGTCCATTTTCTCAGATTTTCAAAAAACAATTTATAACGCTCAGCGATTTGTCAAAAATAAACTCAATATAGCGGCAGCGATCAGATATCTGTCATTCATCTGTGATAGGTTTGTTTTTGAAGTAGGTTTTATTGCTTTTTTCTATTTTTTGGTTCTTTGTTGCTGGTTTTGAATGCCATCTCGAGATCACAAGCAAAAAAATATATATATACATAGTATTTATATTTTTTATTTTTCGTTTTTTGTAGTGGTAAACAATTTTGGGATTTCTCGGCCCATAACCTGTTGTTAGTCACGCCCCAAAAATTTAAATAACGCCAATAAAGTATCTGAATAGCACTAACGGATTCTATTGAACTAAATTAGTTATAACAATTTTTTGACTACTGTTTTTTTTTGCTTTTCTTCCAAATTTCGCAGAGTGCACTATATCATCATTCATCACTTTTTTCAAATAACTTTTTCCAAAATTTCGCCATCTAACTCCACTTTTCGCGTTTCCATATCTAAATTTTCAAATTTGCCGCCACAACAGTAATCACGTGACCAATGTCAAAATGTACTTTTAGGTTATCGGGCATGCAGGATCGATCGCACATACACTGAGAAAAACGCGTCAACTAAGCACGTGGCTTGAATTTTTATAGTAGTCATTACTAGAAAAATGGTTATAACGACCACTTTGTTTTTGTTATTGAAGCCATTTCAAATTAGTTGTACCTTGGAAATTATCTTAACTGACATAATCAGTTCTAAGTATCTAAGTTCTACTAAAAATTGTTGTTAAAACATAGCTAACTATAATTTTGGTTGTTACAACATGTTGTGATTACTAATTAAGCTGGTTAAATAAAAAATAACCAAAATATGTACCTATTAATACTAAAAAACCAGTTGCAGCAACCTGGTTCTCACAACTAGTATTTCTTAGTTAATTGTACGGACCAATAGAATGCAGCGCTCATTTCCCCACCAGTGCCGATCTTGTTTTTGCTTCCGTACTTGGCCACGAGTCGCCTGCGTGTATTCAGTCAGTCTACTCAAACGGTCAGTTGATGCGCAGAATTCGATTGTCGATTTCGGAGTTCGGGAAAACGCAGAAAACGTCGTGTTTGGTGATGTGCGCGTATACTGTGAATTCAGTGTATTGAACAAAAAAATAATAATTGACAATAGAAACCACTTGTCACATGTTTATAGTTGACTAGTTAGTATAAGAAACTGATTTATGAAGTTGAATCGCGACTTAATATCAACATTATACATGTTTTTTCTCTTCAAAAATTGTTTACGTTAGGAATTTATTTTGTGTTTATCCTCATACTCACATGTACTATATTTTGGAATAAAAATAATTATTAAAAACAATATGTTTGTATTTTTATATTTCTATTGAATTTACTTAAAAATATGGAAATTCAACAATTTGTAACTACCACAATAACCTTAAGATGAATATTGTGTTTATTTAATTACGAATTGCTGAATTCGCATATTTTTTTATAAACCTAAAATTCAAAAAAAACGACATCGTAGGTATTTTTTGCAAGAATTTTAAGGTTACAAAAAAATATGCGACTTCAGCAATTTATTTGAATAAATACAATATTCACCTTAATGTTATTGTGGTAGTTATAAATTGTTGAATTTCCATATTTTTTGGTAAACCAAAAATAATTGCTGGTATAACTAGTTTCCATGCTATTATAACAATAGTTATTTATGATATAAGTGTTAAAAGTACATTTTTAAGGCACGCATGTGAAAGTTTGCAGAATGAGCGAAGCGAATTCTGCAATTCACATAAGTGCCTTAAAAATACTTTTAACACAAATATCATACAATATTTTTTCTACAAACGGCAATAACAAGCAATAACCAGTGACAAATTGGATTTTTAAATGAATAATAAATTGGAAGCATCTTTCCTACTACGTAAAATTATTGAATTTGATATTTGTCAAAAAATTCAAACAACCAGCACCTTGTTTTACAGGTAATGAAATGTCTCGTCAGTTTCTTGAAAGTCTGTCGTATGGTCTATCGTGGTCAGTAAGCTTTTTGCTAAAAATGCAACAAAATACACAAGAAAAAGAGGGTTGCATCAATCCCTTGAAAAATATAGAGGAGGCGGCCGATGGAGCTTCCTCAGTTGTTCAAATTTTACCATTAATATTAATGTAAATAATTAAAAATACAAACTTTTTTTGACGTTTGCTTTCAAATTTTGATGTTTCATTTTTAACACTAGTGCCTTAAAGACTTTTAACACTAGTGCAATAAAGTAACATTTTTAATGCTTCGAGGGGGTGTTAAAAATTGCATTTTTAACACGTTTGTAGAAAAAATACTTTTTAGTTGCCACTGCTAAGCAAGAAGGCAAAGTCAACTAAGAAAATGAGTTGTCATCGATAATTATACTGGTTACACCAATACAAAATTATAGCTTGAATAACTCCGGACAACTATGAAATAATAGTTGCTGCAACAAGTTTTTAGGTTAAGAATAAATGTTTGCGGCTAACTAAAATATTAGTTGATATAACCTCGAAGGTCGTATGTCGTTCGAACTAATTCATATTTGCCGTTGCAACTAAATTTTTGACCTGTCCTCTATGCTATCCACGATTCTAGTTACATTTGCGAAATTTTTAGTTATAACAGCCTATTTTTTTTCTCAGTGTAAGAAAAAATATATATATCTTACAAATAAAAAAAAATCCCATGTGTAGCGAACATTATGGGGACACTGTATATCTGTTCGAGTCATAAGAAACAACGTATTAGAAAGGGGCCTTTCTCCTTTCCCTCACCGATACAGAATCCTTCTCTAACACATTGGTTCTTATGGTCTATGGAAAAAAATCGGTTTATATGGTGTCCTATTAAAAGAATCGGACTTAGATCAATTTATCGAAAACGGGGCCAAATATCAAAAAGCTGTGAACGTCACTGGATTCTGCTTGAAAAAGTATCTCGATAAAGTTTATACAGAAATCAATTACTTTCATAAGCGAGAAAGTGATGAAGCTTTCAAAGTATTATTTATTGATCAAAATCGAGAAATGTCTTCTAGCGGCAAACCGGTTGAAGATATCAAAATGCGGTCTGGACCAATGAAGATTTTGGTGGGGTGGTTTATTATTTTTGTATGTCACTCAGAAATTGACGTTTCCTATGAAAAGTTTCCAAATTGGCCCAATTTTGGTAATTTCCAGTTGCACAAATAAAACTTTGAAATGACTGTTTTCGATTTGCCTCATCTCCGGAATTGCATCTCGGCAAGAATGATAGAAGGAAAATAAAGCTGAAAAGAAGTTCAATTTTTTTGTTCCAGGTGCACTCCAAATTAAAACCAGCGATGAAAAGGACCACGGAAAATTCGAATGTGTAGCTGAAAACGCCATTGGCACAGACCATTCGAAGTTCGCGATACTTTACGTTAAAGGTATGTAAGAAAAGGCTACTTTAAAAAAAGGAAATCTAAAAACAGTATTTATTCTAAATATTGCACCAAAAGAAAAATAGGTCGGAAAAAAAATAGGTATACCCCTAGGTACGGTTTGTCTGGACAGTGCGCGACGCACAACTCACAACGTAAGTCGGTAGAATCTGTTCAGGTTCAGCACGACGTTGACACACTGCTGACGCTGTACGTCGCGCTCACCTGCGCAAAGCCAACAAACCGGTTTATTTAATTTACACTCAGTTGATTTTAGCAGACGCGCGCTGCGTTCGACAGAATGTGAGTTGTGCGCCGCGCACTGCCCTAACAAACCGTACCTTTAGCGACTAAAGCGACTTTGATAAACAGAGATTTTTAGGATAACTGAGATATTTTTTTCAGTGCGCCGTGTTCCACCGTCATTCTCTATCCCTCCCCCACCGATCAGCGAAATTAAATTAGGCGACGATCTCAATTTGACATGCGTGGCTGTAGGATCTCCGATGCCCTTCGTTAAATGGAAAAAGGGAGCCACCGAAGAGCTCACGCCGGAAGAAAAATTACCTATTGGCAAAAACACTTTAGAATTAAAGAAAATTGAGGTTTCGGCTAATTATACATGTATCGCGGCCAGCCATTTGGGGATTGTTGCATCTGCAGCTCAGGTTAAAGTTCAATGTAAGTAATTGGTTTCTCGATATTATTCTCGATTTTGGTGTGAGAATATCGTTATTCTCGCACGCAAAATCATTGCAGAATAATAGTATATTCTTCAACGAGCATATAATGATGGCTATTATTCACGAGAATGAAAATTCAAACACGAGCTGAAGGCGAGTGTTGGAATCATTCGAGTGAATAATAGCCATTATTTGCGAGTAGAAGACTATACTTTCTCTTCGAACTTTTTGAAAGAAAATCATTAGTTTTTGTAAAAAATAACAATCATCAAAAGTCTAAACCCACCTTAATTGAAAGTTTAGTGATCTGACAGCAGACGTCAGTCATGTTTTGTTTGTATTGTCTCGTTGCGGCCCGTGTATTCCGAAAATATGGAGAATTTGATTGGTCGACAGGCCGTGGATTCCGGTTTGGAATCCACGGGGCGTGTAGAATTCGTATCATTAATCAATTTAATTTCGAGCAAGAATGAATGTATTATCTAATGTTCGAAGAGAAAGCTTATTCTTCAACGATTTTTAGTGACATTTAGTTTTCAAAGTAGGTATATCTATTGGTACCTTCAAAATTGTCAAACCCTTTAAAATAATAAAAATCCACCTGTTAGTTTGTTGGTAAGTAAGTGTTACCAACGGACATATTTTGCAAAAAAAAATCCCCCACCAACAGCGACCATAAATAATTTTGAAAAAATTAAAAATTAAATCCAAAATCGAGATAATAATATAAAACTCACGTTGCAGAAGGCTATTCTCGCACTTTTAATTAATGAAATGGAGCAGCAATTGAATGTGGTTATTTGTTCTATGCATTGTATATATATTTTGTACGTTTTGGAACCGGTCGCAAAACTGAATTTCGCGAACTATGCGGCGGCTGCGAAAACCTATTTCGCTGCCGGTTGCACTAAAAAATGTCTTTCAACTCCACTTTTCACAGAATCACTTTTCTTAGCATTACCGGGACCACCCACAAACGTACAAGTATCAGAAATCAGTGCAACTTCAGTGAGACTTACCTGGTCTTTTACCGGGCCAGAAGATCTACAATATTACGTCATCCAATTCAAACCGAAATACGCTAATCAGGCTTACAGCGAAATCAGCGGCATCATCACCATGTACTATTCTGTGAGAAATTTGAGTCCTTACACCGAATATGAAATGTACGTGATTGCGGTTAATAATATGGGACGGGGCTCTCCTAGCGCTCCTGCAATAGTAACCACTGGAGAAACAGGTGAGAAATGGATATATTTTCCAATACCTAACCTAGGGACTGATGAAATATAGAAAATTTTACTTCTAATACCATTTTTTCATGCATCCACATCAAAAATGAATATTGGACAATGGATTTTTTGATTTAATGACGGCTAATGTAAGTTTATACAGACCTAGTTTATAGATTCGAGCAACTGGTAGATCGTTTTTTGTACACCAATGTCGCAAAAACTTTTAGTATGTGGCGAGTTTCCCCAACAAAAAATATCTACCTTATCCTCTAATACTATTTTCTGATCTTGCAGTACCACTTTTTTTGGAGGTGCCAGTAAGTTTACTAACACGGTTTTACGACTTCATAAACTAGAATTACTTCTTTGTTTCAATATAAGAACCGGGAACTACTCCTCTAAACGTTCAAGTGCGGCCACTTAGCTCAAGCACGATGGTTATTCAATGGGACGAACCGGAAACACCAAACGGACAAGTGACAGTGAGTTGAAAAGACTAAGATATTTGTATGCCTCCGATGTCTTTTGTCTTCCTCCAATATTTTACATAGTATTTTGTTTTGATCACTTTTATACCGCGAATCTCTCCTCCAGGGCTACAAAATCTACTACAGCACCGACTGCCAACTACCGATCGCCCAATGGGAATCACAAATGGTTGATAATAACCAGCTGACTACAATCAGCGAGCTGACACCTCACACCATTTATACGATACGAGTGCAGACTTTCACTTCCGTAGGTCCCGGACCTCTTAGTGCTCCGGTTCATGCTAAAACTCAACAAGGTAAGTTATACCAATTTCCATAAGAAAATCTTGACCAGTGCCCAGATAGTTTAGGATACAGCTTTTGTAGAAATATTATCCATTGGGCTATCGGGCTACGTTGTCGTAGAATGGAGTTACTTTCTCATCTTATGTGCTCTGTTCGATTTTCCTTGCATTTATTGGGATGTATTTCCACAATGGATGGAGCTTACTCTTGTCTCTTCCTCCGCCGACGAGCAGTTCTGCTTTTTTGTTTCTGATATTGGTAAACCCTGAGAGCAATGACATTGGGTCGCATTTTTGCCGCGAGTTTTGATATTTTTAAGAATCATCGACAATTTGGTGGCAGATGTCTAATCTTTGACCTACGATGTGAAAACAGTGAATAGACTTATTCTAGAGATGAAAAATTGAAAAATCATGGGCAATCATTTAGTAGGTATTGCGCAAAAAATTCGTTGTTTTTGGTGTGTGTTTTGGCCACTTGACTTCCACAGAGCAAATTAAGATTCAAGAACACTTCACTTTCAGATCAACCTTCAAGAGAGAAAGTCAAAAGGTTAAGTAGACAGAAAAAAAATTCAATGCTCCACTCTTGGACATAATTAGGGCTCTACTATGTTCTTTCATTTTTCTCTGTTTTAGGCTAGTTGTTAACCACTATCTTCCACATTTTTCCATTACATCATCAAGTTTTGTCTCTGTTATTTGACTCCATAACCACGATATTTTTTCCTGTGAGTAGCTTCCTGCCTCTGGTTTTGTTTCACCAATTGTTTCCTGACGCTGTCCTGAGTGTCTCGTGATTCCGTCGCAGTCCCATAGGATTGGTTTTGCTATGTCATTCCTCTTCGACAGTGCCCTGTTAGAGGATCGACAATTATACGAATGATCCTTCTGTTTAGGACTAAGAGTTCCGTCGGGATTTTCGTCTCCGACTTTCCTCCAAATTCCTTTGAGTGTCTTAGTCCCGGCAGGTTCATCCGCCACTTTTGGGGCCTGTGTTTCACCCACCACCTAGTGACCGCCTTAGCGATGGGCCTGGTCACTGCAAAATGAATCTGGTCTAGTCATGGGCTGTTTGCGCCTTCTACGGCTAGTTCGTTTCCTCGGTGATCCTCTTGTCCTGGCACACAAACGAGCGTCACCTTGTTATGGCTCCCCCATTCCCTCTCCACAGCGTAGGTAGGCTGTTATTTCAGCATTACAGACTGTGGAAAAACTCCCCATGGGTAATATGATTTGGGTTTCTGTCCGTGGCGCAGTCCAGCTCGTGTTTTTGGTTCGGTTTTGAACCTACCTGTGTAACACAGCACTTCTGCCGTTATTGGTGAGCCCTATTTCTGACTTTGGTCTCTGTGTTTCGAAATGGTTTTCGAAAATGTGGCTTATGGTAGTGGTCCGTAGGCATGCCCAATAATGGATCTTCTCCGATTTCCCTTATTGTTTGTTCGCACTTATTCTTAAATTCACTCACCGGATTTCAGGCCTCCTTTCGCAGTTTATTGGTCTTTTTTCTCTTAGTTGTCAATGTTTAGTTTTCCTGATAAAGAGTTTTTTGTTGAAATCCGAAAGGTAGGTATTTTTGAATATTCTCTTTGTTGTTCATCAAAAATTTCACGCTAATTTTTGGCTTTAACGAAATAAACTGGTTGTATATTGCCGGTTCAGATGATGAGGTGTGTTAATAATCGTGAATGTCTGCCTTCTGGCGTTCAAGGAGAGTTCGACCCTTTATTTTATAAGCAATTGTTATCGTATCTATGTCGCAGGCTTAATGTAAAATCAGTCTTATTATAATACGCGTAGGCTTTTTGAATACGAATAGGCATTTTGTAATACTATCCAAATACTTAAGAATTTCACAATAAGACTAGTAATTTCAGTCGCATTATAATACGCCTGATGCGTGTTAGTCTTATTATCAAAATGAGCCTGCGTTAGAATCCGTCTAGCTAGATGAATCCGTCTTATTATAATACGACTAATGGCGCACCAGGCGAATTGTATTGAATAAAACTTTCAATGCTCCTTTTGGCCGATATATTGTACTGAACACTAACTTTCTTATTCTTTATACTAAATAGACATTAAAATTACCAAGATTTAAGTATTTTTTCCAAATTTCATCTCTGTAGCATAACTAATAGGAAAGCTAGATTTCAGCGCAACATGTATCTGTGAACACCCAGTACTTTAACATAAATTTTGTAGAGTTTAAATTACCTACCTATATAAAATATAATTTATAAATTTGAATTATTTATTAGAGCATGATCCGCTTTCATGGCATTTGCTACTACATTTCATATGAGCTTTAAAACATAAACATTTATTGTTATGACACTTACTTTGGCAGTCAGTGATTTCTTCTCTCAAAAACATCGATTCAACAAGCCGTGTATGGTACCAATTTCATAAACCTCATTCATAATACTCACTACTCACTACAGTTCTTAATTTAATTTTGAGGTCCAGTGGTCCACTCCTCTATATACTTACTTTAGGAACTTCAATTGCAATATAAAGAGTTTTTATTTTTTCAACAATAATTATTATTATTATTCGACTGACACACTGTCAGTCGTATTATAATACGACGAATTTTATTTAGTCGGATTGGAAAATAATCGCTTGCAGGTTCATTTTTACAGTAAGACTAGCGAGCGGCAGGCGTATTATAACAAGCCTAAAATTATCAGTCAAATTGTGTGATTCCTAATTATTTGGGTAGTATTGCAATACGCCTAGTCGTATTAAAGAAGCCTAGGCGTATTATAATAAGACTGATTTCACAATAAGCCTGCGACATCTACATATTATGTATAATTCACGACCCAACTTTTTTTTTGTACGCGCTGAGGATCTTGTATATTTGAATCTGATTTCAGTTAGTCCGATCTAACTCATTCAATAAATTCTTTTACGAAACTGAATCCATGTGGTTCTAGTCTGATTTTGCTGAGCTTCAAAAGTTCTTCTCTCTCTCTAGGTGTTCCTAGTCAACCGAGTAGCCTGCAGGCTACTAACATCGGCGAGAGTTCGGTCACACTCCAGTGGAGCAAACCCACGCACTCCGGTGAAAGTATCGTCAGCTATGAGCTGTATTGGAACGACACATATGCCAAAGAGAAGCATAATCGTAGAATACCCATCTCTGAATCCTACATATTGACTGGACTGTATCCGAACACGTTGTACTACGTATGGCTGGCTGCGAGGTCCCAAAGGGGCGAGGGAGCTACTACGCCCCCTATACCTGTCCGAACTAAGCAGTATGGTAAGATTATCGAATCAAGTATCAGGCGATTTAATTAAAAATTAGAACGTTTGCTATCCGAATCAACACATTTACTCACGGATTGAAAATACATAGATGATAGATTTCTGCTGTGGCGTTTTTGAAAATTTTAAATTATTCAGCATTTATGTATATTTCGAAATAAAACTCCCTAACATATTTTGAATTTGATGAATTTAAATTTATTTATATTGTGTTTATAATGCAGTAACCGTCGCACAGAGGTCTAAATGTAAAAATTACGGGGACATTAGGTGACAAACTTGACTTCACTGGATATTGATAATATGTATGATTTTTTAGACAGAATAAAGTGAGACCTTATGTGTATATCAAGGTTTTTTGTTTGGTAGATCGGAATGCGATAAAATTGGGGACAACGGAGACAAAAATATAAATCCTCTTTTAGTTAGAATTTATTCTCGATTATCTTCGAGTTCGTTTCGATAGTTAGTGTTGATAATATAATATCGTGTTTTGTTTAATTATTCAGGCATGTCTGCTGATTTGTTGGGTAAACTTAGTTACTTATTTCGTAGCACTAATTTTGATATAAATAATTTTCAAAGAAGTACTCAAAATTTTATTTAAGTTCCAAGAATGGAAGGCCCCAAAAAAAAAAAAAACTTTTGTTAACCGTCAAACTCAATCTATTTTAAAGCTAGTATTCCTGACTTTCTTGAAACTATATACTCAGCTGCAACCAGCTGCAATCTTGTGAAATTTTTATTTTTTTCCTCTTCAGGTACTGTTTCGGGCGTGACTCGAAAACAGTTATTTGAGTTTCTGAATGAAAATGGCTGGATGGGAAGTGCCAATTCTTCGATTGTGAAAAACAAGATGGGCGACTTTGTCAATCAACGCATCCCTACTGCCGACAAGGATGACCTAACCAACAGAATTTCGTGGTTTTCGACGCAAATTGCGTTACGTTGGAAAAGGTGCCACCGAAATAAGATTTACTTTTTGAATAAACATGAAATTTGGCTCAATGAGTTTGTTTATAAATCTAAGTGCCAAAGCACCTTCCAGCGACACGCAGAAAAGCCTTCGAGAAAGAACACAAGAGAATTTAGTGACGTTAGTGCTAGAACCAGGAGAAGACGAACACAAGAATTGGTTTCTCACCATAGTCCTGCTGAACTTGCGTTTGCTACTCAGTCTGGATATACGAAAAGAGGAAAGAGAAATGTTGCTTTCGTCATAAAAAAAGACGCGTCTACTGGAGAAAATGGTCGTATCTCGTTGTTGAAACTTCCTAACTGTTTTATTTTAGTCAACTCTTCTGGACTAGAAATCGTGGCTTTTTTTATGACGAAAGCAACATTTCTCTTTCCTCTTTTCGTATATCCAGACTGAGTAGCAAACGCAAGTTCAGCAGGACTATGGTGAGAAACCAATTCTTGTGTTCGTCTTCTCCTGGTTCTAGCACTAACGTCACTAAATTCTCTTGTGTTCTTTCTCGAAGGCTTTTCTGCGTGTCGCTGGAAGGTGCTTTGGCACTTAGATTTATAAACAAACTCATTGAGCCAAATTTCATGTTTATTCAAAAAGTAAATCTTATTTCGGTGGCACCTTTTCCAACGTAACGCAATTTGTGTCGAAAACCACGAAATTCTGTTGGTTAGGTCATCCTTGTCGGCAGTAGGGATGCGTTGATTGACAAAGTCGCCCATCTTGTTTTTCACAATCGAAGAATTGGCACTTCCCATCCAGCCATTTTCATTCAGAAACTCAAATAACTGTTTTCGAGTCACGCCCGAAACAGTACCTGAAGAGGAAAAAAATAAAAATTTCACAAGATTGCAGCTGGTTGCAGCTGAGTATATAGTTTCAAGAAAGTCAGGAATACTAGCTTTAAAATAGATTGAGTTTGACGGTTAACAAAAGTTTGTTTTTTTTTTGGGGCCTTCCATTCTTGGAACTTAAATAAAATTTTGAGTACTTCTTTGAAAATTATTTATATCAAAATTAGTGCTACGAAATAAGTAACTAAGTTTACCCAACAAATCAGCAGACATGCCTGAATAATTGAACAAAACACGATATTATATTATCAACACTAACTATCGAAACGAACTCGAAGATAATCGAGAATAAATTCTAACTAAATGAGGATTTATATTTTTGTCTCCGTTGTCCCCAATTTTATCGCATTCCGATCTACCAAACAAAAAACCTTGATATACACATAAGGTCTCACTTTATTCTGTCTAAAAAATCATACATATTATCAATATCCAGTGAAGTCAAGTTTGTCACCTAATGTCCCCGTAATTTTTACATTTAGACCTCTGTGCGTCGGTAAGTTCATCAAATTCATCGTTTTTATAGGTATCGCCAATATCCTTTTTCAGCAAAGAGACTACTGAAAAATAATTATTGAACCTATGAGTTATTGACATTAAAAGAATAATCAGGCCTATGATGTACTTATCAGTTTCTATTTTTTTTATCAACAGCGTTAAGTTATCTGTCACTGTTATTCTATAATTCAAAATAGAGACAAATAAAGATGTTGTGAGCTACAGAACAGCTGTTGAGATAACACGAGAGAAAACATCATAGGCTTGAATGATAAGCAAATACCTACTGATACATATTCGGTTTCCTTAATCCCTTAAATTGCTTTTATTTTGCCTTGAAAAAGTGTAAAAGGAGTGATATACCGGAATACTCTTTTATCATTTCACGAGTTAGTAGGGCCAAGGAATCTGAAAATGATATCTGTTTTTAGATATCCTCAGAAAATCTTGAAAAAAAAAAATTTAGTGTTCTAGGTCCTATTTAATTTTCACATGTAAACTTCGATAAGGAAATCACAATCCAATTTTTGTAGCCTGTTGAAATTGCAGAAGGTACCTAAGTGAGACTTCAAACTCTCTCTGGCAACTCAGCATGGAAAAGTTAACTCAAGTTCCACACGACACATAGTTAATCTTTCCATCTCAAATTTTACATTATCGTCTCTTTGCCAAAATAGGTTACTGTGAATTTGGTAATAGCTATTTACCTAACAAGTGCGGAAAAATATTTTCCGCAAGTGTTAGGTACAATATTTTTCCTACAGGCGAAAAAATGTGAAATTTTTCTTTTTTTTTTTGACATATCAGTGCGGTAAAATTTTTTCCGCACTGATATGTAAAAAAAAAAAGTTTTACCGCACCGTGCGGGAAAACTCATTTTCCGCACGCATATCAGTGCGGAAAATCGATTTTTCCGTACGGCTGTAGGAAAAATATTTTTTCTACGAGCGTGTGGGAAATGGCTATTCCCGCACGATTTGCTGTGCGGGAAGACTTTTTTCCCGCACCAGTGCGGGAAGAGATTTCTTCCCGCACTCAGTGCGTTCTGTGCAAAGAATTGTTTGTATTGTTGATACACCTATACCTTTACCTTTCATACCTTTACCTTTTTTTTATAAATACCTCTGAATACATTTTTAATTCTACCTTCTGCACAATCGCATTTTATTTAAATTAAGCTTCTCGCTACATCAGCTTTGTATGCTCGTAAAAAAAATATAGTTCCTAACTCTTGCGGGAAGAAATTTCCGTGATCCTTCTAAATATGAATGTTAAAATTTAAATTAAAAATTCTGCACTTTTCGGAATAAAGATTTTTTGAAAATTAGTAAATTGTGTATTTAGGTGGAAAAGTGACACATTCTTGGCCGACGGTGTAAGTTGACGGGCGAGGTGTAGCGGAGGCCGGCAAACACCGAAGGCCGAGAATGTGCTGTTCCATCGAAATACACATACTATTTTTTCTGCGATCGGTTAAATACCTGTTAAATGTTTGTCTTTTAGTTCCAATTATTCAGCAATACGAGAATCACTTTCCCGGCCTAGGCCGGAAAAGTGTTTCCCGTATTGTTATTCATTCATTCCTTAGCAACTATTGAAACATAATTGAAATACCAGAATATTGAGTTTTGCGACCTGTCAACTGGTCAAAAATGATGACATTTCTTGTAAATCGCAGAAAAAAAATATTGTATTTCATTCGGAGTATAAGTATTCTTCATGTGACTTGTATGGATTTGATTCGCCTCGCTGCGCTCGGCGTTCAAACTTCCATGCGCGTCACATAGGTATTATTTATACTCCTAATAAAATAAATATCTATTATTAATGAGTTTGCAAATGTAACTGTACAAAAAAACGAAAAAGTTGGATTCATTTTATTATAAAGCATGCACTAACTTGTTTTTTAGTAAGTGGATTTTATTTTTTCTGTTTTTATTTTAAGAGCACTGCAGAAGTACTGGGCATGTGATTTTTTGAGTAAGTATGCATCAAGTGCAATTGCACCTTTTATTTGGTTTTCTCTTTCTACTAGTCCGAGAGGCAGTGACATTTTTTAGCACCTATTTTCCCAGTTGGTTTCTATTAAATAGTTTGTTCTCCTGGTGATACAAAGCAAGAATTTTTGAGTCTGGCTAAAATTTTCGGATGAGTTCACAAGATCAATGAAATATACAAGTACGCTTATTTTCCCAGTCATGAATATTTCACATTTACTACAATATATGAAAATAGCAATTTTGCTTATATCAGATAGTGAAAGTGAGTCTGGCTGGAAATTTTCGGGTCTTCAATTTTTCACTTGCCAGACATATTATCCATAATCACAGATTAGCCGGACTATTCTTTTACGTAACTTCAGTATACTTCTCATTAGTAGACCTATTTTTATCACTGAGAAAAAAAAGGGCCGTGCATTCGTAACCTTTAAAGCATTTTGCGCCTCAACACATCGGAAAACCCCCACTAAAAATATATGTATTTTGCTTGGAATAAGTAACTCTACAATTCTATCCATGTTGTCTGACTGGGAAAATAAGTACCGATGTTGGCATATTTCAACAACAAAATCACTTTTCACACGCATCCACACACATTTTTATCGTTTAATAACATTGATTGGAGACGTTTCTTAGCTGGAATGTCAAAAAGTTCGTGACGAGACGTGAACTTTTTCTGGACATGATGGCCAGGTACGTCCTTCCTGCAACTTTATTATTTTAAAATTATCACAATTTATTATTTTACCTAAGCAGTTCCTTTTTTTTTTTTTAAATCTGAGTATCGAGAGGAGGCTGTAAGTCATTCTCTCACAGACCCCGCACCAAATTTGTGGCTATTCAGAGCCTACTATCTATATAGTTTATAAATGTGTTGTCCTCGATTTTTGCAGCAACAGATATGCTGGCAAGTTCGATTTCGACTACGCTTTTGCATTTACAGATCACTTCTGATCGAACTTCAACCGTCAGGAATAATTCCCTCAACCGGCTCCATTTGAATACTTAGAGCCATGCTGATAATAATTGCCCCTCGATGATAGGCTCATGAGAATGTATGTAAATGATATAGTGTTTGCTGAAGGTCTGGTCTTTACGCGAACCGCTTTAGAATTCAGTACTGTCGTAGGAGCCACCTCCTTGATGTGACTTTCAAGAGGTGGCAATCACAACAATACTTTCATAGCTCTGGTTGGTCTTTTTCCCAAAGCTCCCTTTATGGTCTGGTAGGTCTCTCTCTCGACCTGAGTGAGCCTAAGCATTGATGTTACTTGTTGGCTTGTGGAGCCATAAGGCTTCATAGGTAATCATAGCATAGGTCTGATGATAGCAGTGTAAATCCACGTCACAGCCGTTGATTTCATACCTCAAGATTTATTTACCCACGATTTTTTTAAACCAATTTTCCAGTTCAATTCTGCACAAAGAAAAGGATGCAAGGCTGATTGAAAATACGCTTTTGGATCAGTGTAGCTACATCCTTTTGCTTTGAGAATAAAAGCTACTCTAATTTCTTCAGGTTGTTTCCTATATTCAGGAACCACGATAGATTGCTGCTGTGACGTCACTCCAGCTAATCCCGACTACAAATGATGATCTTGAGGAATAGGTACCCAGAAAAGAATTTACAGTATCAGCTTCATCAAATTTTGGAATATCAAATTCCTGAATTCTGTTGGAAAGCGAGTATCTTGCAAAGAAAAAAATTAATATTAAATTAGTTTATCATAAAGCTATTGTTGTGCAGACACTCCTTTCCAACGCAATCAGGTAAAGCCTGTTTTTTTTTATAAAGATAAAACTCAAAATGACATTATGTTGGCAATACAATGTAAAATTATCAATGCTTTCAAATTTTTTATGTAGGAAAGGCTTGTGTTGCCAACATAGTTACTTGACTTGGGGAATTATATTTAAAAAAAAAAACAAACTTTATGAGCAACTATTGCAAAGTGGGAAAATATTTCTATAGAAAACCAATTAAATAATAAAAAAAAAATGAAAAATAAAGTAGGTAAGTAAGTACAACAACATTGGAAATAGATGCTCGCTAACATTAAGCAAAATGCTGCTTCACGTGCAGTGGCGCTGAACAGGCCAATAAGTTACGAAATGAGCGTCCTTTAGGCACCCCCCGTCAAACTTGTACAACGAGGCAAAGCCGAGTTTGACAACATGTTGAGTGACTAAAAGACATCGTTCCGTAACGTGTTGTATACAAAAATTTTTCTACTGGCGTTTTACGGTAAAAAAACCTAATTTTATTTCATGTGAAGAGCCGATGACCCCAAAAAGTTTTGTCACCTGCTTTCGCTTGATACCTGACTTTCGACCGATTTTTTTTCAAGATTGGACATCAATAATTGAAATTTCACAGGAAGTAGCAACACAAAGTTCTGCATTGAGTAACCCAAAAATTCAATTTAATAATTGCATTTTTATTAGTCATAATAAATAGGTGAAATTCAAGTTTCTGCTGTGTTTTTCATTTCTGAAATTCATTGAATGACACTTTTAGGCACTAGTGCCTAAAAGTTACTTTAACGCACTGAGTGTCTAAAAGAATGTCAATCGAAAAGTTGCTATTATGAAACGTCAGTAGAAAATAGCTATTTATACAATAAGTTACGAAATGAGCGTCTTTTAGGCACGCGACGTGAAAATTGTCCAACGAGGCAAAGCCGAGTTGGACAACACGTCGAGTGACTAAAAGACATCGTTTCGTAACGTATTGTATACAAGATTTTTTCTACTGGCATTTTATAATAAAAAAATACAATTTTATTTCATGTGAATAAGTCGATTACACCCAAAATCTTTGTTACCTGCTTTTACTTGCCACCTGACACTTTTCATGCGATTTTCTTTTGAAAATTCGACATCAATAATTAAAATCCTAGAAAGTAGGTAATAACACAAAGCTCTGTTTTGAGTAACCCAAACGTTCAATTCAGTAATTCCATTTTCAATATTCATAATAAATACAAAACAAAATTCAAATATGTGTTTAGTGTGTTTTTTATTTCTGAATAATGAATGACACTTTTAGGCACTAGTGCTTAAAAATTACTTTTACGCACTCATAAGTCACTTTTACGCATTCAAAAGTCACTTTTACGCACTGAGTGCCTAAAAGTAACTTTCACGCACTCAGTGCCTAAAAGAATGTCGTTTCAAAACTGAAATGACAATCGAAAAGTTGCTATTATGAAACGTCAGTAGAAAAAATATTTTTCTAGATCTTCCCCAAATAGATAAATTTTCCTTTTAAGTTAAGGTACCTACTATTGGTACCACAAGCAAAAGCTGAGGTTTAAATAAATCAAATCCAAGGATTTGTCAAAATTCTTGAGATGTTTTAATTAAAACTTTTCAAATGAATTCTAACCTATCCGGATTTCTATCTTAAATTTCACCCTTCCAGCACTCTCCTTACTCGAGAAGATAATAAGGGAGTCAAATAATAATTGTCCAGATGGTTTTTTTTTGGTTTACACCTATTCTTTTTAGAGCAAATGGTCCAATAATCCCACACTAACAATTGATTCCGAAAACCAAAGCAGCAATACGTATTTATTTGCCAAAACTCTGAATTGATTTTCCTCAGAAAAATGCGGTACCAAACAAAATGGAGGTTCATAATAGATAAAAAATAGTTATTTTTGTATCTAGTGCGCGAAATGCTACTTTGGTGATCGAGAACTGATCTTTTTAACGAGGCGAGCCGAGTTAAAAAAATAGTCGAGACAAACAATATTTTTTCTACAACTCTATTTAAATATCGGTCATTCGAAGCTTAAATTGCATTTACAATCAAAGGCAGGTAAATTTTTCTATTTTTGGCTTCCTGTCAGGTATCAGGTATTTGTTACCTGAGTGTGTGAACTAGGCATTTCGCATACTGGAGAAGAATTTCGCGCAAGGCGTCATGGGGACGTTAAAAAAAATCTACCTGGGAAAAAAGTGTCACTTCGCAAATTGTCATCAGTGTGCAAACATCATCATTTTTTGACAGATGTAGAAAAAAATATATATTTATATTTTAAAGGTAGATAAGATAAGATCTATTAGGTAATAAAAACCTAACAGTGATAGTTAGACACTGATGGTGAAATAAAACGAAAAATTTTAAGGGAAAATCTAGAAATCTGAAGAGAAAAAAAAATTACAAAGTAAAAATCGACTGGCCTGAGCAACGGTCTGCAAAAGAAAAGACCTTTTCAGAACCAAATCCCTTGAAGAAAACCAGTCTCTTGTTTTTTATACTTGACTGCGTAGTAACCATCGACCAATCAGAAAACAACACTCAACACACACAAAAGACCGTATCCACTTCACCAATGAAACACCACGCTGATTAAATGAGAATTGATAAAAACATACTAGAATCATTCTAATTGGACTATCCAAGATTCTGTCAAACTTAAATTGAAATGTCCGCCAAGAGGCATACAAACCCTTTGTTTGCTTGTCAAAGTCACTTGATAGGCTAGACTATCCAACCTGCTGTCAAACTTAAATTAAAATGTCCGCCAAGAGGCACACATCCCTTTGTTTGCTTAGTCACATGTTTTGGATGTGCTAATTGTCCACAAATTATGATTTTAAGGTTATCCTAGAAACACAAAACCACTAATTAATTACGGTCATCAAATTAAAAATAATCATTTCAGAATCAGAAGTTAGAGAAAGACAGAAATAGGTATACTTATTTGCTGAAAGCAAGATAAACATAATTTCTTCAAATAAAAATAACCGACTGTTAATGAGGAATAATAAAAATAGTTAAAGAAACCCATAAAAATTTAAAAATAAATTTATTAGGTACCTACTAGATAGCGGTGTTACGGAAGATATTTTTTAATTTTACCTTTTTATTCAAATTACATTTCTCGTGACATCACCTCTAGTATGCTCGTAGAAAAAATATAGTTCGCCTTTTTTTTGTAGCGGAAAAAACTTTGGAAAGAAAATATATTGTATAATACACCCTCTATTTTATATTTTTCTCGACTTTTTGCCCAATACGTTACAACAGACAAAGGAGTGAGTATTTTTTCCTTGTTATGTGCTAGTAGTGAAGCTTTTTTTAAGTGACGCTTGTAGACCTTTTGTGTTTTTTTTTTGAGAATTTTTTAAATGCAATAGCTCGCCCCTCAAAAATATAGTTTTTTTTAATATCATTTCCTGATTTTTTTTTTATGGTCTTAGATTTAGACAACTATGCCCGACCAATTTTTTCGTGTGTTGGTATTCAAATATAAAAAACTTGACAGGATGTTAAACAAAAATTCAAAGTTTTACACAGAAAACTATATGCTAGTATGAAAACCAAAAAAGTTCAATTGAACAAGGCAAGCATTCTTCCGAATAATAATTGACTCAAACGCTTCCACAGTGCCGGGCGAACCACAGGACGTCAAAGTAACACCCATCAATTCGACCACAATTAAAGTGAACTGGAAACCGCCGCAAATCATGGACCGTAACGGTATTACTTTGGGTTATCACGTGCACGTGCAAGAAGTTGAAGATGAGGTAATTGGTAAATTGATTAAGTATATTGGAATGTGACAGATGTAGGGAATAAACCTGACGTTTATGGTTTTTTTGGGTAGGTATGCCGACATTTGATTGACCAATAATTCAATATTGAAACTATCCATGCAATGGACTCACTTAGATCGAGTCACTCTCCTCTTTTGATGCCATCCGCCAAATATTTGATATTTGGCAAACATCATGGTGGAACACGTCAAAAGAGCCAGATCCAGATGTCCTACCACAATTTGCCAAATCGCCATATGTGTTTAGTTTAGAATATTTTAGTAGAAAATGATCAGATAGTTAATTATTTTTTATTATTTTTGAATATATTGAATTATTATTCTGGCAGATTAGTGCCATAGATTTAGAATATTTTCTGTTATCGTTTCTCAATTTTTTTCTCACAAAAACTTCAAAAACTCGGCTTATTCAGAAAACACATTAAGTTATCTATCTTACAAAATCCAAATAGCACTAGACCATGAAAATATGCACCGTGAACTTTTTTTATACAATTTAATGGTTTTTCTACTTACTGTCTTCTGTCTTCCGAGTGTCCAAATCGCTGAGAAACAATTCATAGGTATAGTAGTTAGTAGCCATTAAATTTTTGATTTGTGTGGCGAACTATAATCGAATAGGACGTTTAACCCTTATGTTGTCCGTACTATTAGAATAAAGTTAGTAGGTAGATTGTCACATAAGCAGATTCGTAGATACCTACTACTACTACTCTCACTCGTCCAACACTAAAGTACATTTTAATAATTAATTAAAAACCTAAAAATCACGAACAAACTAGCCTTATTACAACACTTAAATAAGTATAATCATGTTTAATTAGTCACCACTCTGTTTTTCTGCCGATCTTTTCCAATAAATAATTGATTATTATCTAAAATATCTTTGAAAACCCCAAACCAACTGGGTTTTCAGTTGGTTTGATAAAATAGACCCACTCACAAGAACTAGAGTTTATAAACTTTCTTGTGATTCTTGCAATTTCTCTTATATAGGCAGGGCTTTGAAAACTCGCATTAATGAAAACATGTCCAGAACTAACTCAGAATTTAGTGAGAATATCCGCACCTCAAAACATAGTTTTGATCCACAGTCTAACTTAAACCTCACACGGGCTGTATCTTCCAAGATCTCGAGGAGATTGAGATTAACAGAGAAGTTAAAGATAGTAACCATTGTCTTAACACCCATGTCAACCTTAACAGAAATTACATGCCTTTACACAGGAGACAGCTAGTTTAGTTGGTCAACACAACCTCACTTGCTACATCTACCAATAAGGTTCGAAAATCGCAACCCACCTGCTCTGCGTTTTGACAGGTGAAAATTTTCACAGCTGTTTTCTACCATTAGATTTGACTTTGATTTGATGTCCCAAAAAAGGGATGACTTGCAGAATTTGGAAAGATTGAATTTTCTTTCTCTTATTTCGGTGAACGCCTAAAGCCAGAAACATTGACATCAAAATTTTCAAACAGAAATTTTTTAATATTTACTAGACAATTTAACATAAAATATTGAACTTCTATTGGAAATCTTGACTCTCTGGCGGCGTCTGATATTCTTTTTTCCGCGAGCGAATTATTTTAGATTGTTTTTCAGAAAGTTTATATTGTTTGTGACATTTATCGTGTACAGATCTGTAATTCTCGTCGTGTCGTAATGTAATTTATCCTCGTCGTCGTTGTCCTTCAACTATTTTTCATGTATGTCGGAACCTAACAAGTGAGTACCTACCTAAAAAAGAAAAAGTAAATTCTACATTCGCCACATGCAAGCAGCCACCTCTCCTTGGTATTATATCGGGTCTTCAAAAAAAAAAAAACAATCAAAGATTGCTATGGCTTTTTAAACGTATGTCTTAGTAATATTTTTCTTCAATTTTGTCAATGAACTTTAATGTCAAAATGGCGTGTCAAAAATCCTGACCAATAAAGAAACAATAATGCGACGTACGTTTTCGTAACCAAAGCAATATTTGATTGGTTTTTTTTTGAAGACCCGATATAATCCGCATTTCACTAAATGATTCTTGGTAAACTCTCATTTAATTTAATACTAACTTATTTTTGGTGGTCAAATTCGTTTAACAGCACGTCGTTGCTTCTAGAATTGTCTAGATAATTCCCTTCCGTTCGCTTCCGAACAAACATATATTTGCTCGAAATACTTGATTTTCCTGTTTATTGAAAGTGTTTAATTGCTGCCGGGTATCGACTCTCATTTTAATTTTGTAGCTGCTCCAGACATAATATGTTCCTGGCGACATCGTGAACTATTCTGAGCTAATCCTGGAGATCAACCGCATAAGGTACGAGTTGACCTTTATTTTATCTACTATTAGTCTGCTTATCATTAGGTTTACGGAAAGCCTCATTTCTCTGTCAGTCAACAGTGTTGATGAAGTTGAATTGTGCTGAGAGCTTCTATCAGCAAGAAAAAAAAAGAAATTATTTAGCCCAGGGCAAACCAGCTTTTATCAGACGTTCCCGTTGTCCTCTACTATTCCGTTTGTCGTCCGCATCCCTTCGCCTTTTTCGTTTGAAATACTCGGAGCCTTGACGAATACTTTGTCGCCATACTTGTCTATTCAGAGCCGTAGCCTTCCAGTCACCATATCGATCCGACACACTTTCATATTTGCCTTGAGGACATCTTTGCCCTCCTTTGAAGACGTGAATCTGGCATGCGGATGACAGCACAGCAAAGCTGATGTTGGATTAGCATTGCCTCAATGATAGTGGACTTGGTTTCCTCAAGGATACTGTTGCTCGTTCGATCCCTCCAGTTTATTTCTGGTATTCTTAAACCGCGCTGGTCACTAAAGACCTTCAGGTGCCGCCTGTAGGTGTCCACATCCTTAGAAAAGCGATGGTATGACGATGCATTGTAGACCACGAGTATGGGTATTGTCCGACGATTTTAATCTGATACTCCGACGGAATGTGAGCTGGTGTCTCCCTTCATTAGAACGCCAGTGGTTACCTGACGTTTTTGCCATATGAAACACCCCCTCCCTCGTCATACTTGTGTCGTGGTTGTCAAACACCCTGTTTAGTGGTGGTTTCGAAGGCAAAGCTGGCGCACTTTAGTCGGTGTTGAATTTCAGCGTCAATATTTACATTTGCCAAGGTATGGACAGAATTCCACATACTGTTCTTTATTTTTTCAGAGTTGCTCCTCTGGGGAATTAGTATTTGGGGCAGGCTGGAATAAGATTTTTATCTTATCCATGTTTATTTCCAGACCTATGCTTCCGTATGCTTGCTTAAATGCATTTAGAGTAGTGTGCTTGGTGTTTGCCAGGACAGCGTTATCATGAGGATATTGAGGCACACAAACAGTTGTGGATACCGAGTTCTCACCTGAAAGTCTGCTTAGTTTGGATAAATAATAGCTCACCATCAGTTCTAATAGGAGATTTTAACGCCCAACAGTAGGTTTCTTGGGGAAGGTGAAGTACGGCTCCTACAAATATATGAACTAGAATTGTCGCAATGGCACATCCTTTTTTTGTGGTTGTCTTGCACTGAAGGTAATGTTTGTTATCCCTCGATTAGGTCTAAAGTTGCACTGTGTTTCAGGTAGGGCTGCTTCGGCCAGAGGAAGAAGTGGATTTAGAAGAATCCTCTCAAGTGATTTTTCACCTAGAACTGGAAGTTTGTTTTGGTTTCTTCATTTTTCAGTCGCTCAGTATTTATTTTATTCTGCGCTGTGGTCATTACCACAGGAAACAAATACTCTAGTCTAGTCTATAGCATTCTAAAACAATATAATTCAATGATAAATAAAATAGGTACACAAAATCAAAATATATACATCTTTATATCGTCTTGGGTAAAAGTCTCGGGATTTTCTCCCATCATATTGGCCAAATGTTTCTTGCCAATCTCGAACTGGTGCTTTTCGGTTTTCATGAATTCGTCGTGCTGCTGAGCTCGTTCCAAATAGGATTTCATTGCTTCGTTTATAGACCGTCAGATAGTGACATATTTAGGTGCCCCATTTTCGCAAACAAGCCTCGACGAGGGTTGAAAAGTACATCGATTTTGAGTAGAATTAAGGTATTTTTACGAGTGGCTCCTGGGGATAACGTATGGAAAATTCGATTTTCCGTAACAGAAATGAAAGACGTCCTAGTGCATATATTTTCTCGAAAGCCGTATTCACCAAAGAATTAATTAATTAAACCTGGCTTCGTGAAAACAAAGAAGAAGGTGTTGCAGATGGCTAAAGGTTTGAAATAAGAGCATAATCTTGTAAGGAAAAATCCAGATTTTGGGCGATTATTCCACACAAAGATGAAAATCTACAACATCGGTAGCAAGAAAACATATTGGCTTGAGTGTCGCAAATGGAAAATTACATTTTAGGGTAACATAAGTAAAATCGAATTTTCCATGTGTTATCCCCAGGAGCAACTTGTAAAAATACTTTCATCCTACTCAAAATCGATGTACTTTTCAACCCTCTTCGAGGCTTGTATGCGAAAATGGGTCAAAAAATCTGTCACTATCTGACGGTCTATTAGGGTGTTTTTCAATTTTATGTTGGCTACCGACGTAGCGGGGCGCTCAGCATCATTCGACAAATTGCTTCCATCGCTTTTGGAATAGGTACTTGTAGAGTCATAAAAAATGGGACCATTACATGGTCAGTTCAGCAGTCATCAGCACGACTCATTGGTCTTTGGCGTGTACAATAACGTAGTCGATGAGATGCCAGTGCTTTGATCTTGGATGTTAACACGTTGTTTCGTTGTTTTCAGCTTCTTTTGATGGAAGTGAGTATCTGTGATGACAAGCTCGTGCTCTCAGCATTCGATCAGTAGGATTCCATTTGAGTTACCTTTGCTTATTCCCTTCTTGCCAATAATGGTGCAATTCGAGAAAGCGTCGCCTCTGCCGACTGGGGCAAGTCAAAATAGCTTTGTCTGATCGAGGAATATTTGTTCTGATTCTATCGAGATGGTTATAGATATCTTCTTTGTTGTCATCGTCGCAATCTAGAGTTGGGGCGTATGCACTGATTACAGTAGCTCTTTGGTTGTTTATGAGCTTGAGACAAAGAGTCTCGAGTCATTCACTTATCTCAGAAGGGAGCTCGTTAAGATGCTCCAAGAGTTGGCTATTTATTGCAGAGCCTACCCCGTGAAAGCGAGGCTCATCATCGTCCTTTCCTTTCCATAAGAAAGTCTAGCCTACGCAATATTCTGTGGATTTCCGATCGCCGCACGTCTTTTTTTCCCTCAGTGCAGCGATATCGATGGTATATCGCTCACATGCTGTTCTCCGTTGTAGTCTATTGCTCTTCATGAGCAAGCGGACATTCCATGTGGCTACGTTTAATTTTTGTGTCCTTTTTTATCGTATTTGGTAATCACAGGACTTCCTTCTTGCACCCTTGATAGACTCCTAGTTGTAGCAGACGTCATGCGAGTTTACTGATCATCAAACTTAATCACTCTATTTCCAGTGACTGCATAGAACCACTAAATCTCAAGAATTTTTCTTTTTCTTTTGGATACCTCAAAAATATTGATGGATATGAGTAGATCTGCGCTTCTCAGCAATAAAACTCTAAAGTCTAACATTACTTTTCTCTCCCCAGAGTAACAGTTTCCTGAACGAACCAATGCGTTTTAACGTGCTAGGTGACCAAACATCAGAGCTTAATATTACTAGCCTTCAACCAGATACGACCTATTATGTCCAAGTAGCCGCTTTAACTCGAAAAGGAGATGCTGATCGAAGTAAATCTGTCGAAGTCAGAACGCCTGGAGGTGTACCCAACCGCCCTTCATTAACCTTAAAGTAAGACCCGAAGCTTCCAAAATAAAATATTTAATATAGTATTTTTAGAATCATTGAAAGAGAACTAGCAGTGACCATTGAACTGAAATGGTCTAGGCCATCGAAATCGTGCGGTGAACTTAGAAGCTATCGCTTGAGATACGGAGTTAAAGATCATCTGCTCAAAAATGTTCATTTAAAAGGTTCGGACACTAGCTACCGCATCAACGACTTGGAACAAGGCGTAGAATATGAATTCCGTGTTGCAGGCGTTAATCACATAGGCATAGGACAGGAATCAATTAAATACTTAAGCACCCCCAACGGTCCTCCCACAGGTCCGCCTACAAACATAACCTATCGCTTCCAAACCCCCGACGCAGTGTGCGTTACATGGGATCGACCCACGAGAGAGAACCGTAACGGTCAAATAGTCAAATACGACATCAAATTCCACAAAAAATCGGATGAAAATAACGTAATTTACCGCAATATCACCAAAACCAAGGCAGTGTTCACAAATTTAGAAGAAAACACAGAGTATGTATTTCATGTTAGAGCATACACCAATCAAGGATCTGGTCCGAATAGCGAAAAGCAAATCATACAAACCGAGAAAGATATCGGTAGAGCACCGATGGCTATCACAGCTATGGCCACCTCAGAATCCAGCGTAGAGGTTTGGTGGGAACCGGTGCCCTCTCGAAACAAAGTAATCGGCTATCGAATATTTTACACCATGATTGCTGTTGAGGACTTAGACGAGTGGCAACAAAAAACCGTGGGCCTCACCAACTCGGCCGATTTAGTCAACTTGGAAAAATACGCTGAATACGCCATTGCCGTTGCAGTCAGGACAAAAAGCGGCTTGGGAAGACTATCGGAAAAAGACACCATCAAAGTTAAACCGGAAGATGTGCCCCTTAACCTGCGAGCCCGTGAAGTCACTACACATTCAATGACCTTATCCTGGTCAGCCCCAATCAGACTAAATCCCATCAAGTACAAAATTTCGTTTGACGCCCTCAAAGAGTTTGTCGACTCACAAGGCATAACGCAAACCCAAAACATACCAAGGGTGGAAAAAGATTTAAACCCCGAAGTCAAATTGTATACGATAGACGAACTGAGTCCTTTTACAACGTACAAGGTTAACGTAAGCGCCGTGCCTAGCGACAATTCATATCGTCCTCCCACCAAAATCACTGTTACAACGCAAATGGCTGCTCCACAGCCAATGGTAAAGCCAGATTTCTATGGTGTGGTCAACGCGGAGATTCATGTAATCCTACCTCAGGCCTCTGAGGAATATGGTCCTATAAGCCACTATTATTTAGTGGTTGTACCAGAAGATCAGTCAACCAAACAAAAGAATCCGGATCAGTTTTTAACCGACCAACTTTTGAATAATATTGAGAGGGTACCACACAATCCAACAGTGCCTTACATAGCTGCCAAATTTCCACAGAGGAGTATTCCCTATACATTTCATTTGGGGACCGGCGATGAAAAGGAGGGGTTGATGAATTTCAATTTAAAGCACGGCAAGAGATATAGGATTTTCGTTAGAGCGGTAAGTGATACAAATTTTGCTGGTAGTTAGAGAGTGATTGGTATGGCTGGGCAGCAGTTCTTCTGATTTACCCTAGAAATTTCTTGTTAAATAGATATTAAATTCCAAAGTAAAATAAGTAGGTAAAGTTTGTTTCGCCAGGGTTTGTACTTGCCACCAGCATTTGCCTTCCTTTTTTAACAAATAAAAATTGACTGAAACAAATCAATGACGTCAAAAACGTTCGTCGGTTCTTAACCAGACGTCATTCATTTTAATTTGTCAAAAAAATTGTGTGTCATATGAATTGATCTACGACAACCCTTTTTTTTCAAGTTTCAAGGTCAAGTATGAACCCTGGTGAAACGAACCTTATATTCTTTCGGCTCTAATTCAGCATCTACAAGGCCAGAAAAAATCATTCAGTTTCTATAAAATAGAGACTTTGTTTTTGATCAAAAATATCTCTTTAAATTATACACTTTGGCGAGATCAATAATCTCGCTAAAAAAAATACGTATGTACAAGTACAAAAAATAAAAGTACCTATGTATTTTTTTTTGTTCTAAACTATGCGTCTATCGAACTCGAACACCCCAATTTTTGGTCACTTTTTGAAAGGCTATAACTCAAAATCTAGCAGGCCGATTTTGTTTAAATTTTCAGGAGTGAAAGGATGCTCTAATTGCTATTTAATTTCCAGTTTTTAACAGATTTCTGACCACCTGCTAAAAGATACAGGGTGAAACATAAGTTCGCGATTTTTTTGCGAAAGTTTGGGTTTACCCCATTCTGCTGGAGGGAGAGTTGAGTAGATTCTTGGTATTCAGTTTAGAAGAGTACCTTAGTACCTCGGGACGTTTTTGAGATTTTTTGAATATTGCAGGCCACTACGCTTTTATCTTGAGCTATGCGATTTTATGTAAAAAATAGCTATTGACGTCATTATTTCTTTCGAAACAAACACTACAATTATGGCGCATGTGGAAACATACTTAGAACATATTATACAGGGTCATACAAAAATATATAGGGTGTTCTGACAAGAGTTTTCGGATGTTTTTCTCAATTCAAATGAAAGGGAAACTAGGAAACATTATAATACTTTCTAGCAATAAGTAACATGATCGTTTACAATTATTATACGTGAAACGCAATATCCAACAAATAGCCACCACGACTTCTCTCACAGCACACAATTTTTTTGCCAAAATTTTCGATTGCATCTGTGGACATTTCCGATGGTATCTCACGAATAATTCGCCGAATCTCATCTTTCAACTCTTGAATTGTTTGGGGGATTGTTAACATACGCTTTGCTTTTGATGTAACCCCACAAAAAAGGGTCTAGTGCAAGTGTTTTAAAGACCAGTTATCCAAGAATACTTTACACAATTTTTTTTTATTGGTATACGTTCAAATCATAAACTACTAATCTAATATATAAAATTCTCATGTCACAGTTTTAGTTACCTTCGTCCTCCGAAACGGCTTTACCGATTTTTATGAAATTTTATATGTATATTCGGTAGGTTTGAGAATAGGTTTTAAGCTAATTTTTATACCCCTAAGTGATAAGGGTGGTCCACCCCAAATTTCTTTAATTTTTTCTTGCTTCTCACCACTATATAACTCAACTTATTTTTGTTTATTCCATTCAACCGACGTAACAGTATTATCGAATAGCATTTTCGGCTTTACTGCTCCCAGAGCGTTCTCTATTTGGGCGGTGACGTCGCATATCTCTGCGGAAGTGCTCCGAGAGCGCTTATGATCCAAGCGAGGCACCCTATCTGAAATCAATAGCCAAATGATGTAAAATTTTAATTTTAGGTGATTTCTGATCCAGATAGTAAACATTAGTGTTCTTCAACCAATGCCAAATTCACCATTGGAAAAAACTGAATTTAATTCATCTACTAGATACGTTAACACAACATTTAATAGGCATTTAATAATTCATAGGCGGTACGAAGTTCGCCGGTTCAGCTAGTAATTGTATAATGTTAAATTCGTGCTTGTTATATTTTATTTGACGTTATCTACAAGTACCTACTCTTGACAAATCAATAATTAAAAAAGTTGACGTTTAGACTTTACCTTTATTGGGTTGTTGATGTTGTCATGGGTAACTTTAAAACACGCGCGTTTTTGAATGTTGGATTTAAACACGCTGAGGAGTACTTTAAATAAGTAAAATAGGTTTTCAATTAAAAAAAATGTTAATATCGGCTGATCAGTACGCGAGGCATTGTAGATGGTCTAAAAAAACAAAAAGTTCCACATAACAACCAATAGTGTCAGTGGCAATAGTCAAGTTTGACAGTTTTCCCTAATTTTGCGAATTTAGTCATATTTTTATTGATAAAAATAATAATACTGGAACGGTCACGACTAAGCCCGAATGAAATGGAGAATATTATAAGCTTAAATCACAATTAAAGACATTATAAAAAATAAATGTATTCATGGGAGTTATATTGACCAGACTAGGTTACTCCTTAAGAAGTATTGGGAAAATATATGATAAAGCTCCTTCTACAATAAAGGGCGTTTTAAATCGTTTTCATAACACTGGCACCGCTGTTTATAGACATGTAGGTGGTAGACCAAAAATTAATTCTGCCCGGGATGACAACTTTTTTTGACAGTGCGACGAAACAGATCTCTAAATTTTTCGCAAATAAGGACAGCGGTAGGAGTTGAAGCATCAAAATCTACAATTCGAAGACGTCTCCACGAGAGAAATTTAAGAGCCAGAAGCGTCTTTTATTGAAAGCAATCCATCGAAGAGCACGGATAAACTGGGCTAATATTCATAGACACTGGGAGTAGCTGAATGGCAGAAATGTTTGTTTGTGGATGAATGTAGATTCACGTGGTATCAGAAAAACGGGCGTGTATTAATATGGAGAGAAACGGGTGAGAGATATAGAGCAGAATGTATGGAAGCAAGAGAAGCCTTTGGTGGTGGTGGCGTGACAGTTTGGGGCGTATTAATCGGAATGGGAAGACTGAACTGGTAATTTTAATGAGAGAAAGTATGAATACAGAACTGTACCGTGATTTGTGTGTAGGAGATATTGTTGTTCCATATGCAAACAACTTTGGTAATGATTTTGTCTTTGTGGATGATGATGCTCGTCCACATCGAGCAAATATTGTTACTGAAATTCGTAGGAATAACAATACTGAAAGAATGGGGTGGCCTGCAAAGTCGCCTGACATGAATCCGATTGAGCATCCATGTAGTAGAATGAAATTGAGACTGGCTGAACGGGTAAATGGTTTTAAAGATTTGAATGAATTGGTGAATGCAGTAAGGCAAGAGTGGAAAGCTATTCCCCAGAATTTGATAAGGAATTTAATAGGTAGTATGCCGAGGAGAGTGGCGGATGTTCTTAGAAATCGGGGTAGGCCTACCAAGTACTAATCCTTTTATCAAGTCCATGTTAATTTTATTCTTGTTTTTGTTAAATTTGATTTAATGTGTGTTTTATTTTTATTTTATTTTAATTATAAGAATTGTTTTTTTTTTTCACGCTTTTATTAGCTTCACTTGTATGTATGTTTGTAAGTAACTCTCTTTTGGACTAAAAGCAAGAGACTTATTACTGTTAGTATATCCCTCTACCTTAAGGTCATTCGTTGGCCGAGCGGTTTAAAACGCGGGTCTTCGCTGACGCCAACTCCCAAGATTTGTTTGTTTGTGTTGTACTAACTTGAACTGAGCGCAAGATATTTCAAGTTTGTGACGTCACTAGTTCAACTTCTAATACTAGTTTTACACTGACAATTTACAATTGATCAATTCGTTTGTGAATTTATTTGCCAATTTATGTTGGCTCAACAATGGCTCAACTTCGCTTTACACCGGATCAGCTTGTTGACAACACAAACGACAATAAACAATTCTGCCGACTTAACCAGAGTTTCAAGGTTATGTATTTTTATTTATGGCTCACCCAGAAATATATTTGAAGATGTTTAATAATAAAACTAGAAGAAACTGAAGGTAGAAGAATAAACTGAACATGAACAAGTAAATGATAAATAAAAATAAATATCCTCACCTAGCTTTAATATTTTTAAAGTCATTTCTAGGTTTAAATCCTGAATAGGGAACTTGCAAGTGAACTAAAATTTTCCAAATTTGTTTTAAATCAATAGTTTGTACTGCACAATATTTATATGACCAGTTTTTATTTAACAAATACCGCCCTTATTACACAAAAAGTAATACTAAATTTGAATTAAAAAATTTCCAGTAGTAATATAACTAGTGCATAAAATATTTCCGGAAATTTTTGAAAATTTTGTCTGAAGCCAATTTTTTAACAAAATCATGAGTGCATAGCACCTGAAAAAATCCCGAACCCGAAGGGCTATGCACGAATGGTTTTGTTCAAAAAAATTGGCTAAAGACGAAATTTTTCAAAATTTCCCTTAGGAAATATTTTATGCACGTGTTATATTTTGATAGGAAATTTCCCGAGTTTGAAGTTTATTTACTACGTTGTGTCGAATTTTTTTATTGTTGCTTATTGTTATTAATCTTTCCCATTTAAATTGCGTTTGTCAAAAATATACACTTTGACAGATTTCTGACATCAATGCTTTTTAAATGGGAAAGCGGGTATCAATGTCAAAAATGACAATTCCGGAAATTTTCCCCGGGATATTTCCAAAAATTTCCACTTGTTAATTTTGACAATTTGTATGCAAAATTTCCAGTGTAATTTGCACAAGGGAAATTTCCCGCCAAAACAATGCTTCCATGATGGCTACTTTGTTTGACGTCACGATTCTGTAAACAAACCTGTCAATAGGGAATTTGCAAGTAAAAAAAAATTACAAAAACAGTCCTTTACAATATTCTTCATCCATTACAACAATTTTCACAAAAAGCAAACTTTAACACACTTGAATGACACAAAATTAACACTGAGTCAGCAGGAGTTCGTTGCTGCGTATTTGTTGTTTACAAAATCTTAACGTCACAAGCGCTGTCATATTGGGAT